ATTTGGAAGTATTTTTACTGTGCCTTGGACTACATTGATGTACCGGTGATGCCTTTAATTCATTTTCTTCATACTAAAATCATTGTTTATGTTCAATTTATGTTTTAAATGTGTATTCAATTTTAATTTACCTTCTTACGAATCTCATCAAACAATACTAAAAGGCTTTCGCGTGCTGAATAAATTGCATTGGAGGCCATTAAGCTACGCATGTGAAAATAAATTGCATCGAATTTTTTGCGCTAAAAAATTTTTAAAATATTTTTAGCAACAAGTATTCTTTAGTTTAACAGATTATTTACCGCTTGTATGGCTACAATGGCCATTTGATTGTATGGTATGCCATTGGATGGTATCAACGCTTGGGCCTGCTGATAATACTTGGCCGCACCGGTGTAATCATTCGACTGCAATTCCTTTGCTTTGTAGCGACATAGGTCACCAAGGCATATAAGTAACTTTTGGGCGGCCACTTTGGCTATGAATTCAAATTTGTGCGTTGTGCAATGTGGTGGTGCTTTGCTTTGATGTATATTAATGGCATGTTGCAGAGCGGGATTTATATATTTTGAATTAAGTTGCATATTCAAGTTAGTGTAGAAGTCTAAACCCTCGTCAATAAGTGAGAGCAATCGGGGATGTATATCAGGAGTGGCTTTGCAATTTGTTGCAAAATATTCACGAATATTATAGTAAAGCAATTTCCAGAAAAACGAGTCTATCTTCTGCTCACAGCACAATTTTAGTTGTTGCAGCAACAGTTTAGCGAATATGATTTGAAGTTCCCTACGTGCCTCACTAAACTCAGTCCATTTCTAAATTAAAGTCAAAATTAATGAAAGCACGTTATGTGCCCTACTCTACCGCTTTCTTACCTCGATCACTGTATTTTGCTGCAGCAACGATGTTACCTTTTCGTAAGATTTATGAAGTGATTCGATGCACTGAGTATCAGCAAGCATTTCAAACCAAGGCGGTGGCATCGGTTTACGTTGTAACTGACGTGAAGGCGACTTTGTAAGGATCTTATCGGCATTCACTGGCTGATCACTTAGTTGTCGTATACGCGCCATCATTTTCTTGCCATTTTCTCTAGCCACGCTTTTCTCTATCATACCTTTAGCCTTTTCGCCATTTAAGCGCAAAATTCCCGGAATTGTACTATTTTCATTACTTAGGTTGCCACCCATGGTGCATCTCATTGCAGCTGCGTTATTTTCTGTCATTTTCCCGCTGGATTCCAAAACGGGCACAGTGTCTTTTTTAACGAGGTTTTTATCTAAACTACTCAAAGCAGATGTAGTTTTCTTCAAGAAAAAGTCAATGCTTGTTGCAGCTTCTTTACCTATCCCTTAAATTACAAAATTGATAATGAAATCAAATATTAATTTCGAAATTGTAGTACATATACCCATTTCCACAGATTTCTGAGGGACGCTTCCCGATGTTTCTTGCTTATATAGCAAACTCCCAGGCAACATATCATTATCATTTCTTCTCGCAACGCCGCTACTTGAAGGTGAAGGTCGTCCGCCAGCATTTTGACTATCAACGTCAACAACTGTTACCAACGAGTCATCGCCAACATCTTCAACGATCCTCCTTTGCAGTCGCTTTGGTAAATTCCGTATTATCGATATATCATTTTGTTCTCGCGCTTCCTTTCGATTCATATTTTAATTTAAAGCTTTCCACCAACCACTGCATTTATTTTGGTTTTATTTGCGCGCAATTCGGAATCGAAAAATTTACTTTTGCTCGCAATAATTCCACGCGTCCGTATAAAATTTGCAATTGGCGAAAGGTGTGTGCACACATAATAAAATGTCAAATGATTACAATCGGAGCTGCCAACTTCGCTGAAACCGGTACATTTTTGGCCCTATACACAGCAACATGTTGTCTCAAACGATCAGAAAAATATTACGATCATCTAATAGGGCTTTCGCACGAGGCGATTTTTCAGGCAACTTTTAGTTGAAAGCAAAAATCGCCTCGTCCGAACGGCCTTTCAACTAATCGCTTTCAACAAAGTTGGTCGCCAGCCAACTTTGAGCTCGTTCAACTTTTTTTCCTTGCAACCCTGTGTTTGTTTACATTCTGTATCAGTGTTGGGAAATTAAATTGTTCCTTCAGTACGAAATCTATACAAAAAATGTACTTTTCGGCTATAAATTGTATACACTTTTTAATTCGCTCATATATTTTCTTAGTACATTCCCTTCAAGACCAATGAATTTATGGTATTCATGAGAGAGTTTTATTGTTTATGTACATACGTTTATGTAGTTTACACTTTTACAAATTGATTCCACGTGCACATGTACTGCATTTAACGCAAATATGTATGCACACATTTTCAGGTATACATCTTAACAAAAAGCATATTTAAGTTATTATTAATGGATAAACACGCAACGTTCAGTTGAACAGAAGTCCACAGCAACGCGTTCAGAAGGTGCAATCGCAACAGATACTGAGGTGTTTCGCCTTCTGAACGTGCCCAATATTTCAATACATTATTGTGAAATACGTTGCGTGTACTTCGTTTTCTCAACTAAAATTTTTAATGTCTATAGTGTATACAACTGGTTTACCTTACTTTGGCATTGGCCTTTGTTTTAGGAATGTGTTTCTCATTGAATTTAATTTAATTTTGAATTAAAAAGGATGACACCCTCTTTGGCACTTTTATTTTTAAATTTTGCATACTTTGGCACTTTTTTATCCTCAATATGGCACTTCATAGCTAAGTGGAAATGGCAGCCCTGATTACAATAGTGGTGGCCAAGGCGAATTTATACAAGGTGATGTTCATGATTCAACAACTACATGTTGTAGCAATCGTACAAAAACAACATTTACCGTTGGTATGAACTCCTTGTGTCATCAACATCTTCTTTATCTATTCATATTCGTATGTATATGTATACCCTGCATACCAGGATTTCATAGAATTCTGAAAGGTTTCACAATTTTTTTTATAATTTACTTAAGAAATCGTACAGAAATTTCTTTACTAGTTCTTGTCAACCGCTTCATATGTTTTTCTTTAAAGATTTCTAAAAGAATCGTAACAAATTTCCGACACTTTTAAAGATTTCGGGAGCATTTGTTTGCAGGGTATATATAGACGTATATGTGTATGTATACGCGGAGATGTAAATAAAGCAAAACAGACGATAATTTGACACAAGCGTGCTCATAAGAAGAAGCATAGCTTCTTTCGCTATCACCTGTAATTGATGCGCCTTGGGTGATGTTCAAGACGAATCAAGGCGAATTTATACAAGGTGGTTTTACAAGTCGAATTTATGCAAGGTGGTGTTAACAGTAGCTCGTTTCTGTAACAATTCTCTACCAAGGCGAATTGAGATATGAATTCGCCGCTCTGTTCTCTACTGCTAATTAGTAGGTGAGAGTGACGTATTTTCTCTACCAGTAGAGAAATAATTGGTAGAGAAAAGTTACAGAAACGGGCTACTGAACAAACACAAAAATTACAACAAATTATACGTTCCTTGACAATCGGTACAAAGCCAAATTACAACCAACACATGATTTTGACAACAGGTAAAAATTCGCCGTGAAATCAGCGGATCCGATAACACCACCCTGTATAGATTGTCCAAGGCGAATTCATTTTACAACAAACACATCATTTTGACATTAAGACGTACCTCGGCGAAAATCTAAATCCGCCATCAACACCACCTTGTATAAATTCGCCTTGGTATTAATGACATAATAAAGGCGAATTTATACAAGGTGGTGTTGATGGCGAATTTAGATTTTCGCCGCAGTACTTATTAATGTCAAAAATATGTGTTTGTTGTAAACTAGGGGAATTCATTTTACAACCAACTAGGTCTGGGACCATCCGCATATTCGAATATCCGGATATTCATCCGGATTCTCCGTTGACACGGATAAAATCCGGATAGTATGGATATCCGGTTAATATGCATTTGTGCAACTATCCGAATGTCCGGATTTATGAAAATACGGTTAATATTCGTATTTTAGGATATCCACTAAAAAATTAACCAATCGGTGAACAATATTCGTTTGCGGGGTGGTCGTTACAAAACTACATCTGCTTTTGGGTGGTGGGTTTATTTTTTTCACGCCTGTTAATTAAATTCGTCATTAGGCCTCGGCACGCTGGACTGCTCAGTCCGCCTAAAACCGGTTTTGTGTGGATAAGAGGGGGAAGAGAGTTCGAGTTTACCTCGCTCATTTCAGTCCGCGAAAATCGCGGATTGACGGTGGACTGACACGCACACATAGACAACGTGTTTTCTATTTCGTTTTGTTTTCATGTGCCATATGCACTAACAAAATCCTGCGTAGTTCATGTATACAAAACTGAAGCCTGTTTTCGGCCGACTACCCAGTCCTGTGTGCGTTCGAGTGGTGGACTGCTCAGTCCGACTGAGCAGGCTAGTGTGCTCAGGCCCATTAAAGGTGAAATTAGTCAAGAACGCACAACTTATACTTAAACGCTGTCTGTATACGCAGAATTTCGTCGGTTACTGAAGCCCTCAGTGTTGCTTCCTATAGTGTTACCACTCATCAATGCGTTTTCATAAACTTACCTTTTCAACTACAATTGTTCGTGCTATAATAGATGATAGCTAAATATAAACTTCTCATTTTTTAACAAAAAAAAACTTATTCGATAGTAAATTTCAAATATCTTAAAAGTATTTTGAATAGGAACTTATAACTTTTTTACCATCTGCAAAACTGACGAAGTGGCAACCATCTATAGAAGGAAGAAATCAACTGACACGGAGAAAACTAAATTCTGAAGATTTCTGCGCTACGGGCAGCGTAAGCTACGGGTAAGACAGATCGTGTCAGCTGACTTGGGTTTACATACCGGTGGATTTACGTTCTTGACTAATTTCACCTTAACACCACCTTGTATGAATTCGCCTTGAACACCACCCTATATAAATCCGCCTTGATCTTGTATAAATTCGCCGGGATTTTGGATTTCGCTTATATTTTTTTCTTCCTGTTTATTTTTTGTCTTCTCTTTCCAAACAAACAAAGATAAATTATTTTTGCAGTTGAAATATGGCGCAAGTAACTTTTCTGGACAATCTTTTAAAGGAATATTTGGTGTTTAGAGGTTTCTCCTCTACCTTGAAAACACTCGACCAGGAACAAAAGACCGAGAAAGATCAAAGTTTTCGTGCCGAGAAATTGTTGGAGAGCTTTAATCAGTCTATTCAAAGCCACGACTTAATGGCGTTACGTGCGCTTTGGACGCACCTTGATAGCAATCTCTTCAGCAAACTGGAACATACTTATGCAGCAGGTAAGTTGACGTTGAAAGTACCAGCCATTGCGCAATGATAATGATTCCACCATGAGTACCAGCCATCTTTTAAATGTATTTTCTTTCGTTCCAGCTGTGAAAAAATTGGAAAATAGTCTGCTGAAACTATACCTGGTGACAGCATATTCAAACAATCGTCTGGATAAAATAACAGAGTTTTTCACAAAGCTCGCTGCGGATTTACAACAGCAAAGCGAATGGAAGGATTGGTTTTGTAAGTTTTCATATCGAAATATCACATATGTGTGCCTAAAACTAAAAATAAAAAAAAACTAATATTCATACTTACATATATTAAAACTATATAATATTCATATATCAGATTTTCCGTTTTGTAAAAACGCCGAAGAATCGCCTACTTTTGCTTTATACTTTTCGAAACAATGGCAAGACACGCTACAATTGTCCTTGCGTAACTTCCTTACAACTATATATCAATGTTTACCGCAACCAACGTTTGTGCGCGCTGAATATGAGGCCGCACATATACGACGCCTGCAGGAGGAAAATGCTTTGTTGAAGACACGCTTACAACAAATGCAACAGCAAATATCCACTTCCGGTAGTAATCAAAATCTGAATGCAGCTGCCAACGATTCTACCGGTACGCGCCGTCGTTCTTCATTTAGACCACAGCAAAGTCTTAGTGACATATTGCCCTTTGATGTAAGTCCTCCCGGACACGTAGTAGATGATTTTTCAGTAATCTCGTCGGAAGTAAACAACGTTGCACAGGCAAGCGACGCCCAGGCGCGCGGTCTGCGAATGCTGATGCGCAGCATAGGATCGGGTGGATCGCCAGACACTGGCGGACGTAAAGATGCTAATAGTGGTGGAGGTAACGAAAAAGCAAATAAACGCCGTTCCGGCAGTGTGGGAAGGAATTGGATATAATTTAGAAATTAAACTCAAGGAGCTCATATAATAAGGATTCAAAAACACAAAAAATAAATCAGACTTGTACACATTTGTTGCTCCCAAACTCACGTTTACGCATGCTTAAATAACGAGAACACAAATATTACCGCAATATACATAAAATAGACTCTTTTTTTTATTCCATATACATGGGTATATATAGCATATATAGGTTTAATATTGATTTTATTGATTGCACATTTTAAACTATTAATTTGTGTTGCTTTTAACAATGAAAAGGTGATGCTTTATGTTTGCTTAAATTGGTATTGAATATATAACATTCTCATTTATACTTGAATAATTTAAAATATAACATAACTTTATATTTTAACAACTATTAATTAGTGTTGTACATTTATCACATGTACTCGATTTGACCATACTATTACTACGTTTAAAACGTTATAGGGCAGGTAATATTTATGTATGTATATAGATGCTTGCGCGTTACATTCAACAATTCGTATTATTACCAAAACTTAGAACTATACACATTGGCTTTTTTACAACGTAAAATGGCCTTCGCGGTAGGCTCTCCATTGTTAACAAATAATAGTTATAGATGCTTTTAAGCGTATATGTATATCTAACTGGTATTGCTGTCACTTACATTGTTTTATAAACTCAACAATACTTTTATTGGGCTTCTAAGGATTCTTCAAATCAAAAATTTCCCGTAGTAAGGGCTCCACTTCAGCTGGATTGACATTTAAATAAACGTTAATAATAAGTTGATTCAGACGCTCAACATCCGAAATTTTTTGTATTAACTTGATAAATGCTGATTTTGCCTCACAGCCAGGATATACGCTCTCTAGATATCTTCGTAGTAGATAATAATATGAATTCTGAAAGAGGAATATAGTTGTATAAAAAATATAAAAGATCTAAATCTCTCTCATCTACCTGTTCCAATCGAATAACGTCAGAGTGAATTATACGTGCACGCGTTGGTGTAAAGAGCACAATTGCGCACATTATTAAAATTATATTCTCATCAATGCGCCATTTCTCGTCAAAGGTACTAAAAAATTTCATAATTTCTTCATATAAATTGCCCTTAGCTTGCTTTAGAATCTCTGCATGCACATGTGCTGAATTTGAAATATGCGGCAGCTGTAAAATTTAAGTGTAATAAATTGGTCCGAATAAAATGTGATTGGTGTAGCTTCTACCTTCCATGTATTACGATTATTGTCATAGGTAATCACAGCGCGCATAATCATCATTTCAGTGCAGCCACCTTTCAGTAGTGCTACTTGATCTTCCTGACACATTTCCCGAAAAACGCTTATCTTTTTAGCCATTTTTATCAAACGTTTTATGGCTACCGCCGTCAAATTAATGAGTTGCAAAAGTTTTGGATCCTGACGTGTTTCCTCGGGCTAGAAAAATATATATATATATGAAACAATAACAAATAACAAAAACGTTTACATATATCTTATAAGGTGCTCTACTAAACAAGTTTTAGAGTCACCAATTCAGATATGAGTAAACAGTTCCGAACGTGGCGTCACGCATATAAATGGTTCTATTACTTTTTGTCGCAAGTTGGGGTAATAAATCATTTTCATGGCAGAAATACACTCGAAGGTTTGCCATTGCCTGCCGAGGGGCGACCGCTGTCGTTTCCCTATTTATTTTTCCACCACTGTATGTATTTTGTCCAAAGTGCACGAGTACTTAGGTACGCTTAGGCACTTTTTCTGATAATAATTGATAACGGTAAATGATATTGGATTTATAATGCCAAAATTTATTTGACTAAGAATACAGAATAGCAGAAGTGTCTGCCAAAATGAGTGCCTGATTATTGAAAACAAGTTTGGAGCATTGTTGGGAAGGATTTTGTAAAAAAATCCCAGCATGGAATTTACCTTTGAGTTCTGTATGTAAAAACTCATGTTTGAATCATGACATTATACTATGACGAATATGAAGCAGCAGGTGTTCTTCATATAGCTTTTTAGGCGCATTCAAGCTGATAAGATAAGAATCAGTTTGCTAAAAGCAACCGCAAATTCTACATTCCACTATTATTATGTTCTACTCACTTTCATTCTATCATCGCCCATCATTAATAGAGACAGATCGTTGTCCATTGGATAATAAAGTGCTTCGCTTGCTAGTTTCAGTTCACGCAACTTCATCTGCTCTGCCTCATTAAGATCACGTCCCATTGTTACACTGGATGGCAAGCAAACAGGTTGCTGCGGTTGTGTATTGTGAAAACTATATCCGCACTGTTGTTGCATCGGTATGTTTGATTTATAATTGAATTGTTCATGTTTCACCCGCGGTTCTGGCGGCAAATTGTTAAAAGCCTGAAATTCGATTCGAATTACTTCAGACAGTACCGATTCCAACGAATTTAAGCTATCGCCTCCACTTGCGTTTTCAGGGAACGAATTTTGTATGAATCTTTTCATTTCGAAAGGTTCATCGCTGAAGTTCGTAGGGCCAGACGTTGAGTCTGTAAACGAGTTAGGATTTATCAGGCCTGCAGAGGCACTTTGTAAGTCAATATCCGCATGAATGCTTGAAGGTGAATTATACTGCAAATTCTGTGTAGAAACAGGACACTCTGAAGAGCTAACAGGTATTGTTTGCGAGGATAGTAAACACATTGGTATTGGTGGTGCACTAGGCGATGCTCTCATGGATATTGCCTCGGTTTGAATGGGTGATATTGTTTGGTCCGGGGTGTCTGTTCTTATTGTCATTGCTTGTATGTTTATGGGTGATTCTACCATCGCATCTGAATTAACTGGCATTGCTTGCTGATTAGAATATGATTCGTGACCCATATTATGACTCATTGCTGGACTTCTCTGCAACATCGATTGAAGTAAATAATTTTCGGGTTCTGAATCTTCTGGAACTGTGAGTTTCTGTACTGACTGGAATGATTTATCATTATTTTCCTTTGTTGCATCTAAGAGAAGTTTATGTAGTTCATCACTGCGTGCTGGTGGATTTAGTGTATTGAATATTTTGTTGATTATCCTCAGAGCCTCAGCTGGTGTATTCATGAATTTATTCATTATATCGAGCGCATCTTCCGGGCATTCCATAAGGTTTCGAATGAATTGAACAACATCTTGTGGCGAACTGACGATTTTTGATATTATTTCCAAAGCATCGGTAGGCGAGCTCATGAATTTCGTGAACACCGTAAGCGCGTCAAAAGGCGAATTCATTATTTTGCTAATGATTTTCAGCGCATCGCCTATAAAAAAAAATACTTATTAAAAAAAAAAAACAGGATTAACTAATTGGTTTTTCGCTTGGTTCACCTGGAAATGATATAAGATGTGATACTAGTCGTAACGAGTCCTTCTGCGATGAAAGAATTTTCTCCACAATAGAAAGTGCTTCATCTTTAGTACGCATTAGTTTACTTATTGCCTGCGACGCACGATCTGGGTCACCAACAATAAATTCTACCATTTCTTCACTGGTCATCAGTTCGGGGTTTATTTCGCTGTCTGCCTCTAATAAGGTTGGTGAACTTATTACTGCATTACTACTTAAGGGTGATGATAAATTAACTCTGGCGGCAGATCCGCTATTATTACAGGCAGTGCCCTTGCCACTGTCGAAGGAACTTTGGGAATCATGTGAAGCGGTATCGAAACCTGTGCTGTCTGCTGAAGCACCCGTTTTAGTATCGTTGAGCCTTCGCTTTGCACGATTACACTCAATTTTACGCCTTTTTATGAGTTTATCTTCTTCCGACATAATATTTTCACTTTTCATGCCAATGTCGATACACTTTTTGAGGCGACATCTTTGGCAAAATCGTCTCGTTACCACAGTAATCTCACAATTTTGACTAAAGGGACAGGTAAACTGCTTTTTTGCTAAAGCGTTTCTGCGAAAGAAGGCCTTACAGCTCTCACAAGTAACAGCATTGAAATTGTATCCCAGTGCCTTGTCGCCACAAACTGCACAGCTTTTGGGTGGAGACATTTCTATATATAATCTCTTAATATATTATTGAAGGTTACATCCAATCAAAATCGGCCAGCAAGTCAAATTGATTACTATTCTTACCTTCTCCCATATATCTCCCTCGTTATCACCCCGACAATAACTCGATAATTCTTGCTCGGCGCCTTAATTAACTTCGTTAGTGATTTTATTCACTGCTATACTCCACCCATATAAATTGTTAAATTCAGACGTCTTTGTTTATTTTGAAGTTCTTTTCAAACTTGCAATTGTTTTTAAACATCGTTTGAAGTCATCTTTGAAATTCGAATCTCCCACAGAACAGCACAATAACTTGGAATTTAATTTCCAATATATTTGGAATAATCATCAGCTAATAAAGACATGTATACAGATGTCAAATAATTAGGATATTTGATATTATATCGATATTGACGATATTTTTGTGCTATATGCACAAATATCACCTTGTTACCGAAGGGCATACGTCGATACATCGATTTGCATAGACTGCTTTTACACAGTTCAAGTATTGAATTCATGCTCGCTCATAGAAGAGAGGGGGTGAGAAGAAAAGGACGAGTACACATGTGTCTGTACCGTCAAGTCGTTTCAACTTTCTTGCTTTGATTTTAACATTTAAAGAACAAAAACTTGAATTCAACACAATTCAAGCGTGTAAAAGCAAACAGAAAACACAAAAGAGAATCAGCAAGAATTGCTTTCAACTACTTGAATCATGTAAATCAGGTGATAGAATTTTTCAGATGACCCTGCAAAAAAACGGATGAACATATCGAAAATAAAGAATCGAAAACTGACTAAAACTTTTCGTCAGTTTAGCGTTTAGTTTTGTATGAGATTGGGGAAAAAAGTCACCACTTCTCCGGGCGAGCGATAGTGCATCCCTTTCTTGCACACACATGGGCGCATTTGCCCTACAGTATCATGAACCAAAAATACAAGATCACGCCTTCTTCTTAGTAACCCGTTATAATCGCATTTAGGAAAAAAGTTGCGCGACTTTGACATTAGCCGTTTGTTTACATTTGTTCGTTGTTTACAATTTGATGGTGGCTTTTTACTGCAATTTTCTTAATTTTCGCTTGTGACAACGTGTGCACACATAAGGTAAAGCCCTGTATGCAGCTCTCAAGAAAACGGCCAAGAAAAAATTGCCATTATTTCGCGTGTGTGTCCAAGGAATTTTGACATTTTTTATACTTCACAGCCTGTTGCCTCACTCTTTCCTCAAGAAATAATGGAACGGGCATATATTTCTGTTGCAAACCTGGGTTGCCTTGTGCTCTTTTTTCACAAAAAACTTTAGAAAACCGTAGTAGAAAGCGTAGTAAATTTCTTAAGAACTGCGTACTGCCTTAAGGAAATTTGATTTAAGAAAATTTCTTAGCCATTTCTTGTACGTCATTTTATATGGAGAGAGGAACTAATCGAGAAGATGAAATCGTTGAAGATCAACGAAAACACTAAATTCGTATCATTCGACATCAAGGACCTTTACCCATCGATACCAACAATAGAAACCATAAAGACCGTACAAGAAATACTGATGGGAAAAATGAAAAGAGAAGCTGTCACGGAAATAATAAACGCGTTGAAGGTTACATTAAAACAAAACTACTTCCGGTTCAACAATAAGATATATAAACAGATTAACGGGTTAGGAATGGGCAATCCGACGTCTGCTAAAAAATCGACTTTTTTCACTCTCTTGTTCTTCCGTGATTTTGTGTCTTTCGTTCATGCATGATGTAAACCTGTATTAGGTTTGTACAATGATTGATGGGACTGATCACATTTCAGATATAATCGATAACAAAATACGTTCATCGATAACCCGTCAAACAGCTGTTGGCTAGATGACAAAAGCATTTGGAATAACACAAATCGCCCCAATAGTTGAAAGTTTGTTTACTTTTTAAAAATGTTGAAAAGATCCAAAAATTCCAAATGTCTACCACCACCTTCTCCACCAACCGTAGAAGAAATCCTCAAAGATGCAGAAACATTTCATGTTGAGCCGCATACAGAGCCAGATAAACGGCAATTGCCGAATACCGATCGACAACAGCTTGATTGGTGGACGCGTTTCGAGCAAGCAGTAGCAGATCAAAAGAGTTTGATTATGCTGGACAGTGAAGTTAAGAGCTACAAACTTAAGTTAGAATCGACAAAAATGGAATTGGAAACGGAAGCTCAATTGTTGAAAAATGCTATTGAGGGGCAATGTGAGCAAATCGATGAGGTTTTGTCAAACGGTAGTTGGTAAAAATATCAGTATATTTTACTAATAAGGAGTAGATGGGATTGCGTGTGGCACGATTAAATCATCCTCAAAATTTTTATTACACACTAGAATTTATAAATAAAGTTTACACATGTAAAAAATCAAGGGAAATGTTTAGTTATTTGTACAACGATTTTTGGTGGGGACGGAGGGAAAGGATCCGTGACCCCAAATCCCCCTAAACGAAAGAGGTTGGACCGCGCTTTATGAAAAGTCATCCCTCCCACCCCAGTTTATTTAAAAATAGATTTATGGGTCGATTACGGATAGCAACTCAACCAACGTTCGGTTTCCAGCTGGCAACGCAACTGGAAAGAAAATTTGTATTACGAATGGCAACTATCATCAGTTGCTGTAGTTATCTATAATCCAAATTTTACAGTGGGACAACCACCAAGCGGCTGTAAACAAGCTGTGCGAGCAAAATTGAATTATTAAATTAAAGAGTTTTACAGAAAAGACATCAATAAAGCCATGCTCATCACAATTATGTGTTTAAGAGAAGTGCATGAGCGCGGCCTCAATCAGGCGACATTTAAACGCTAATTCCAATCCTCTAGAGCTACCGCGTGCACTGTAAACAAAAGCTAATGCTTTCAAGGTTTTTCTTTTATTATCGTTTTGATATCGTGATATGAACCTCTTCGTTCAACTTCAATACCTCCGCTCATAAAAGCTTGTGCACCTCTTAGATTTTTCGCACAAGGAAGTGTCACAGCAATTCAATTCAGACTTCAATTTGGTGTGTCGGTAGTTTTAAAAGAGGGTGCTTCAGTTGATAAAGGAAAAAATTTGCAATCAGTGTTCGCTTTTGTTTCGCCAAAGGGCGTCCTCCACGGGGACTAATAAAATTTTAAGTTATTGTTTTGCTATTTTCACCATATTCTGTAAAAGCATTGCATTGCAAAATATTAATATCGTTCAAATTATTAAAAAGTAAAATATATAACACATTTTTCAATTTTCGCTCCTAAATACGCTCCCAAAACATTCCCAGCAACAACAAAAATGTACTCGCCTGTATACACACTGTGTAGCAACTGCAGTTGTCAGTTGAAAGTTGCCAGTTGCTATCTGTAACATCGTTTTGGCAACTAGCAACGCGACTGATTTCGATTGCTATCCATAATCGACCCATTAATTTCAGATAGTAGTACACACTTTGAAATTGTGGAAATTATCGATACTCAAAATTTAAAAAATTAAGAGATGTATGAATTTTTTTATTTTACGCGATAAAAAATCCCAACAAGCCAAGTCCGACAATAGAAGATTATTTATAGTTTTAAAGGCTTATATATCCTCTTCTCAGATCATATTCGATCTTTGAAATCGAATCAAAATCAGCTATTCCAAAACTCATAAATCTACAAAATCGTACTTTCTGACCTAAATCCACAGGTCGCGATCTCTAAATGACCTTTAAACAGAGACCATAACGATTGTAAGAAATAAAATTAAATATTGCCCTACAATTAATGGAAAAGTTGTTTTCGTCTCGCGTTTAAGATTTCGACTTCTCATATAAATTATATGGGATTTTTTTTTTCGTGATGATTTAAATCTTCTCATAATAATTATATGAGATTTTTGATGTTTGTCGTCTTTTGGGACGATTATTTCAAAACGAACACGATTACGTCTTCTCATAATAATTAATTGGGATTTTTTTTTCGTCTCTCGGGACGTTCATTTCAAGACGGAAAATAAAATAAATGCCTTTAACAAATCTATAAAAAAGGCAATAATATTTCTCACGAACAAAATTAGGAGGTAGGGTTTTGAAATCTATAAAAAAAACATTTTCGATGGGCACCCTAATGTACATATGTCTAAAAAAATTAACACCAATTGAATTTTTTAAATGTTACCTAATGTACATATGTGTAAAAAATTAACACCAATTGAATTTTTTAAATGTTACTACGTAAAAGCCCAACAACGGATAAAACTGAGAAAAAAATATACGCTATGCTTTATCTAAAAAAACAAAGTTTTTTCTAGATTGGCGTCTTATAATTTAAAAAGTAAATGATTCCCGATGTGAGTCAAGCGTCTCTCAGTTTTCACGTAGATATAGTGTGCACACTTATGTAAGAAATAAAACCCGAGTTCAGTATTACTTTTTGCAATGCTCTAAATTTTAAAATTTTTATTAAACTTTCCAAATACATTACTAAACTCATGATAACTTTAATTTTAAGATAGATTAACAGCTTGCGCTTATGGCGATTGTATATTTTTCGCAGACACAAAATTGTCACAAACTTTTAAAGGTGGACCCTCACAATATATTATATTTAACCGGATTTTACAGGCACATATGTAAGTATAATTGTAGCGCCAGGAGATATTTCCAAAGAATCGGTTTGCACCTTAGACCTGCAACAAATTGAACACAATTATATTTTATTATATTTTAAATATTTATTATAAACTTACTTCACTACAACATTTGATATATTGTAGTTGTCACTTAGAGCATAGACAGACATCTTGTCCGGCAATGAAGTATGGTCAAAACCGCCCTTGACTGTATTGTTTGATGGATTGAAGGCAACAAAATAGCCCGGATTTCCAGATTTTATTCTACAAAAAATTACATAGTTAGCATACATACAGAAGTATACAAAATACATCCCAGCAAACATTTGGAGTCATAAAAGAGACTTCATAATGAGCTCATTTATGAGTCCGATATGAGGGTATTTCCCTTCCTCCGAAAGTCGACATATATGAGCTTAAATTCATACATCAAATGAGCCTAAAAATTAGTCATATTGGACTCTTATTGGCCTCATATACGCTCATGTTTGGACTCTTTTAAAACAACTTTTGGCCTCATATACATATAAATCATTTCAGACTCTTTTTGAGGCTCTTAGCGGCCTCATAAATTACTACATTCAGACTCTTATTTTAGGTTGTTCTTTGAGTCTTATTGAATGTACTATATTTGCAAAGGCAACAATTTCTTTCAAATAGCATACATACGTGCATATATACGTACATTCCAACATGCCATTAATAGCAGCAGCTGCAGCTAAATTTTGTTTTTTAATTACATATTAAAATTTTTCGTTTTCTAAATATTTTCAATTTC